TCTACTTTCAGTAGTTTTACAGGTCAGGGTTTACTTAATCTGAAATAGAGAACAGAAGATCTATCTATCAATATTTTCACAACAGAAGCTGAAAGACATAACTCTTTATTCTTTCTTGCTGTGCCTCCTGTACTCGAGTACAACGTCATGTGTGGACTGTCTGCCTTAACTTTTGATGCTCTACGACTCTTTTAAATAACACTGAGTACATTCAGTTTTTGCATTCCTTTTCATCGTATTATCTTGGGAGCTGATACTCTGAGATACAAAGTGCCCTCACTGTTACTGGAACAAGAATTAAAGACTCTTGGTCTGATAGGAACAACTCTGAATGGAATTTATGTAGTCCTACAGAACCGTCAGCGTAGTGTGTGGTACATCACATACTGAACCACATACAAGTGGTTACAATTACCCCTTCTTGACCCTGCCTTCTGATTAAATAAGAGGCAATTAAATTAATTGTTAGAGAATAAATTATCCTAGAATGACTGTACTGTCATTTTTGATATGCATGTAAATATGCTTAAACTGGCAAAATCATCTTGCTACAAAACTATCCTCATTGGCAGTGTAGAATGTTAATTACTCCGTAGGAATCTATGTGCAGAAATAAACCCAAACAGCTGAGATGTGTTGTTTGCAGTACAGTATGGCTTTCTGCTCTAGAAGTCTATTTGGGGAAAAAAAAATAAAAATAAAAAAAAAAGTTAAGGGATCATTTTAGTTTTCAAAGTACAGATATTCTGGTGTGGGGGATGTGTGATTACTTTTTTTGTACATTTGAGGGTTATATGTATTACAACCTTATATATGATGGATTGCTACAGCCATTGTACTGAAATGTGATATATTTGCCACCATTATATACACAGGTTATGGCAGAAATAGATTTTGCTTAGATTTGTGCGTGTGCATGTTTTGCATTGTAATTTTTCTGACACAGATACAACGCATCTTAGAAATTTAATCATGACTGTGCAGTTTGACTGTACAGAACTGAATATTTCTCAATAGGAGAACAGTTGCAGAGGAAAGCACTGGCAGTAAATTTGCCATATAATGGCTGCAGTATGCTAACAGAACACATCCTGTTAAACCCGCTGTTACTAAATTCTTACAAAGAAAATCAGAATACTGTTTTAACAGTGTGAAATTCAAAAGTTGGTGTTTACAATCCTAGACATGGAAGGAGCTCAGGTATGTTTTACAGGGCTGGTATTTATCAAAAGGAGTCACATCCTGCATGTAGTAACCTGTATTTGTTAATGCACTTGTAGTGCCATACAGCATTACTTAAGACAAGTAAGTTTACAGGCAAAATTTTATTCAGTGTTACAAACAGTTAGGAAATCACTGTCGTAAACTTAGCAGTTCTATCTTTAAAAAAAACCAACAGTTTATCCAATTGCTCTTTACAGAATTGTAGCTTCTGATCTAGTGAGAGCCTTGCAAAACCAGACCATTAAAAAGCTGAGGCCACGTTAGAAGCAAACACAGTTTGATACAGAAATTTCTTTTCAAGGCATCTCTAAATTGACTAGCAGGAGTTACCTTCAAGGAAGCAAATAATCAAACCAGAAGTTTCAATATTAAACTTCTCTGTTACATAATCTTAAACATTCTGATGCCTGAAAAGTGTAGGCACCACAGTTGGGAACCAAGCACAAGCTGCTGCTGAACTGCTCTCAAGGCAGAGAAAATGCAGTCAAAAAATATAATTAACTGGAAGGACATTATGTAATGAAAACACAGTAAAGCTCGCTGATGTATACAGTTATTTGGATGGCATCTTCAGTGCATTATAAGTTTAAAGCAAATTCCATTAAAACTGGAAAAAAATATTCTTCCACTTATATCTACTGAATATTTTGTTAAATCTTTTTTTTATTGTGGCCTATTAAATTGCTTTCTGACGTTTTCTAGGCCATAATAGAGTTTTTCTTTTGAGAGAGATGTGGAATTGAGTTGCACATGGTATATATGTGGCCAATAAAGAGCATCCATTAAAACCTGAACCTGAAATAATCTCAAGTATTCCTTCTATTGTGATGAATAACATGCAGAAAAGAGACACCTGTGTCATTCTGTAGTGACTGAATATATGGACTTCTAGGTTAAGAGTGCATAAATGCATATGTAGAATTCTAGCCAAAAAAAAAAAGCTATTCAAGCTACGAGAGTGAAATCTCAATAAAAAGCAGGGAATGGTTAACAACTATACAATCACACTATTTTTATAACAAGTACAGTTCAGATATTCAAAAACAGCCTAAAATAAATCATAGTTATATAAAAATTTAAAAAGGAACCAAAGCATTGCCATTTATATTGCCAAAGAAGGCACTTTGTACTTTGAAGTATAGGAAAGTAAATCCCCAAAAGCATTACCCATACTTTTTTAAAATTAAGGATGTAGATATTTTCAAAGCAGATTTTGATGTTTAAGAGTACAGATTTGTTTTTGTTGTTTGAGAACTTTGTATTAAGTAATAGCACAGGCTTTTTTCCAGATAGAATTTTTTCCACAGTACTGCTTGCAGTAGAAATGACGCTAACCCTAGTAGGTGTTGCTCTTCTTATTTTCATAGTCATAATTATGTCTTAGCATCTCATTTGGTGAAAAGAAGAAGACGGATACCTCTTCCTAGGGCCCTCTTCATTTAAGCACTACTTTACTAAATGCAAATTATGGCAATCAGGGCGTCAGTTTATGTTTTGCCTTTCTATAAGAAACCATGATGCCTTTGTATTTGTTGTTTGCAGTCCTAAAATCAATTCCATATGTTTGAATGCCATATGTTTTGCACATTGTACTGTATATATGTAAGGCATATTGTATTTTTATATGTGTAGTACATTTATCAGATATTTTGTACATAGTGGCAATATTGTAGCTACTGAGGAAATGTTTGATATTTCAGCATTTTTGCTAAGTGTCTCAAATAAAAAGAAAAAAGAAAACTGTTGTTTTGTTTTACTTATTAAAAATGAAAAATGCACTTAATAACAAACTAAAATTTTGGATTGTATGAATCAGAAATATTTGGGCAATGTTATCAAGTACCTTTCCTACAAAAAGGAACGAGAATGATACAAAGATACTTAGACAAACTCCAAAAGAATGGTGGTTTTTCTTCAGAATCAGAGAGAACAGAACATCCTTAATAATGAAGAACTCCTGAACTCCCAACGTTTAGGTTTATTGGGTTTTGTTAGTTTAATTCCTTTGCTTTTATTCACATCTCAAGAAAACATAGGCTAAGAACCCTGACACAGATACTCTGATGTATAGAGACACTGGACTACCTTAGTATCAGTCAGAACAAAAGCACAGTGCAACATTCTCCTTTACTTTCAGTAAGGTACTTCTGTCGTAAAAAGAAAAGCCGAAGGTATTGTGGGAGTTCTAATCTGTGCAACGCACACGAGGGAACGTGATGCTCTTCAACATAATCGAAACAGAGCGGCTTCGTAAAAATTAAAACAACTGTAAACAATTACCTTTTATATAGCTCATGAACCCTGCAGACCTGACTTCATAATGGAATCTTTTTTTCTTTATGTGCAGCTGCTAACGTTCACCATACCCCAAAACTCATCTACCCCCTGGTTCATTAAAAAACAAGCAAGTTCAGAAGACAAATCTATCCTATACATTCATGATTTTCCTAAGTTCTTTGAGGGTTTTCAAAATGTGCTGGATTGTTGGGTTTCATATTTGCATTTTGTATTCTGCTCAGCTTGTTTTGGAGCAAACACCTCCATGCACCTCTTCAGGAGAAAGAACTATGAGCTGTTCAGTATGCAGAAGATTCTTTCTGTCATAAAGCTGCTTCTTTTAAGTATTTACTATGATACTTTCTCACATGGAGGCAATCTCCATACTTGATCACCAACCATTTTCTCATTAAAGTCTGTGCAACGCTGATGACCTCACAATTTGGAAAAGTATTACAAAATCAAATTATTATTTAAACACCCATAAAACTGAACAGTATGCCCTGTAAATTTCCTAAAATACTTTTTCTGTATGAATTTAATCCATTATAAAAGTTTGTAGGCTATATATGTGCTATAAACTTACCTTCAGATACCACTGTCCAAACACAGAGGAAAACCACCGCAGCACTTTTTCACTACACATTTGTACATTACAGCATTTATAGTCAGAACGTATCAGTAATATATCTCTCATTGGGTCCCAACTTGCAATTCCGTGTTTTAATAATTTTACAAAGACCTAAAAATAAACATGTACTTCTCCATATGGGAATTGCTGAGTCACTGCCCTAAGCAATGATTGAGCACCTGAGGAAGGGACACAGCCAGCCCTGGGAGCACAGGTGGCAGCAATTCCAAAAACCTGGCTCCAGCCCTCCCTACCCTCATTAAAGGGCTGGCTGCTATGAGGGAAAGGTTTCCACCTGGAGATCCCTCCTTGTGGAGTATTTAGTGAGCCCCAGGCCTTGGGCCAGGTAAGCAAATCTTTCTTGAACTGGGTGGTGACCAGCAGCCTTTTTTGGTAATTCAGAACTGGTTCTCTGCTATCACCTTTCCCTACACCTTCCAACTGTGTTCATGTTAACATTATTGGGTAAACACCAAGACAAGGCCAGATAAAGCTTGAGATGATGCTAAATGAACTTTTCTACAAGCTATAAACCCTGGTTTTCAATAAGAACTCTACAATTTAACAATGCTCTAAAAGCAGCTATCCATCACATGCATCTCTATAAATGCTATCTACTCCTGCCTATTAGCTGATTGTCTATTACACAACTGTTGCTAAGGAGTGTTGGATTTCTTAGAACATTTGTACCATCTGAAGTCAGACTTTTTGATAGCAGTGAAGTCCCTCACGTTTCCCCATCCCCTGCAATACACTCTGCAGCCCCACTAAGAACTTTCTGAAAGAGAATCAAAGAAGCAAACTAGAGGAAAACTAAACACCCACAAGGTTTGAGGTCTTTTTTTTCCTCTGCTTATCTATAAACTACCTGATGATGCGTCTCCAGTCTCCTCTGCAGAACAAGGACTGCTGCTCCATTCTGCCATAGCACCACCTCCAAGAAATCTGCGTTGATTAAAAGTGAAGAGTGAATGCTCTCTCATAAAGCTAGGACAAAGTCTCAGCACCACTAACTGACAGCTGAGGAGCATACCAGCAACCCTGCAGCATCTTTGCAAATACAGTTACACAATTACACACGTTCTTTATGAATATGTATCTCATCAAGAGTTGGGATGATTTTTAGAAAGGTCTAGTCTTGCATATTAAAACATAACAAAGACTTCTCTTAAGGCAGCAACACCTCCAACTCAAGAATGACACTTAGGAAGGAAAAAAAATGCCAATTTTCTCCTTTTGGCAAAGTCCCTGACATTATCTTTTCAGTGCCAGAATCTAGAAGACTTTCCTTTAGTAAATTTGGGTAGTTTGAAAAGCAGGTTTTGTCAGAAAAGCACACAACATAATGAAGATCTGGGATAAAGAATGAGGGCTTTTAGAAAGAGCTCAAACAAAGGTAATGATCACTGTAAAACACACTCTCAAAACTAAAGAGTGATTCAAGCTTTTTTTTCCTGTTCTAATGAGGTAGCCACAATTAAGGAAACATTACATGATAGTCATCACTGAAGGGATTCTATATCAAAATCTTCAGAAATGCTACAACAGCGTATTGAGAGAAGCCCTTCCAAACATATATTACCACACAAACATAACCAGAAACCATTTCCAGGAGAAGCCTTCCAAAATTAATCAGAATATTCTCTACCATAAAGATATCACTGACAAACCAAGGTTACTGACAACAAAGACTGTAGTAAGTAGCCAAGTAATTTCACCTTAATTCCTTGTAGTTATAAACTACTACATGAAAAATTCAGTTAAAAAAAAAAAAAAAAGAGTCAGATAGAAGTCATATAATACGGCAGCAGGACTGAGGAATCAGAAATTGCTTATCTGACAGATCCAAAGCATGTACAAGTCCTCCCCATTAATCCCTGATGGAGTGGGTCTGTCTCAGCAATCCCCTTTAAGGTCATTCTGATAACATCTCTAGGATGTCTTTTTCACAGTCCCCTGCCAAAGACAATGAAGTGCCCAGGGAAGCCAGGAGGTGAAGCACTGACACAGGAACGCTGTCAGTGCTCTGCTCCCAAGGACTATCTACTCATACAAACAGAGATCTTGCTAGGTTGCTTACAGCCTGGTTTGAGTCAAGGGTAAGAAATACATGGCCAGCATCTTGCACTAACTCCCTTCATAATTGCCAGGGTGCTCTCAGCAATGCTGTCACTCATTCCAGAGTGAGACAGGAGATGAAATCTATGCCTGTCTGTACATCCTGCCACCACTGAAAGGCTGCCCACAATGGAGAGGTCCCAGAATAACATTTGGGATCCAGGTTAACCACATTGAGGACCAGTCAACATCCCAGACTCAACTCCTGCTTTACTCTATTCACCAGATTTCTGAGCAGCTCATCCAGCTTTTCATCCCAGGTAAAAATGCAGCAACAGCACGGGACACGCCTGAGGTTTTGGAAGCTCTACCATCTTGGCCATCTTTAAAGAAGCCATCTAAAGGAAAGAGAGCAGGAACGGTCTTTAAACCCAAACAAGTATTTCTTCTTAATCTGCTCAGAAGCTCTTCATGATTTCATCTTGAACGTGCAGGGAAATGGGACATTTACAAAAGAATTTCAGCATTAGAAGTTGCTTTGCAGTTAAACACTATTTCTGATGCCATCTGAGTAAGTTTTCAAAAGCGCAGTGTATCCGAAGCGATGTAACACACATGAATTCCGGCTATCATTGAAACACTCCTCTGGCTTCCTCCTGCCACGAGATCACAACTCTGTCACAAAGTTAGGAAAACACCAATAAATCAAACATAGAGAGGAGCTGCTCAGGAACCGTGACAACAAATTGCAACCGGCACATACGGCACATAAAAGAAAACGTTCTAACAAGGCAGGAGACCGGACACGGCAGCGAACAGCCCAACGCGACCTCTCCGTCAGCAGCTACGGTAACCGCTCCTGCCGGGCCGCTGTCACAGAAGCAGCCGGCCCGGGGCCGCGTGGGACGGACCGCACTTCTGCTCCCGGCTCGGCCCGCCGAGCTGCAGCCACGGCACCACCGGGACGGGAGCTGCGGGCTGCCGCGTGGGGCTGCGAGCAGCACAGCGGGCTTACGGATCAGCCGGCCGGCTTGGGGCCGCTCAGGCACCCGCGGGGCTGCAAGAACAGCCCGAGGCTCCGGGACGGCCAAGCGCGGGACATTCGGCGTCTGGCGTGTAATTACCGCAGTGTCTGCGCTCCCGCTCCGTTCCTGGGAGGACGCACGTTTTCTTCCCGCTTTCTCTTCCTCCTCCCGGAGCCGTTCACTCCGGTCCGCGCTGCACTCGCGGCTCCGAACGCACGAGGGCCACCTCTCGGCGGAACGCGCGGCGGCACGGCGCCGCCTGAGGGAGCAACGGCCGCGCGCGCGCCCAACGGCCGCAGGTGCTGACGCGCGCGCACGGCGAGACGCGGAGCGGCGGGAGCGGCGCCAGCGATAGAACGGCGTCGGAGGCGCCGTTAGCGCGGGCGCGGTGGCCAAGTGGTAAGGCGTCGGTCTCGTAAACCGAAGATCACGGGTTCGAACCCCGTCCGTGCCTCGGCGGGTCCGCGCCGGAGGGAACTTCTGTGGTGGTCCTTTTTAGGGGACGGCGGAGCCGCCGAGAGCGGGACGAACGGAACCGTCAGCAGCGCCGCGGCGGCCGGGCCGGCTGAGCCCGGGGTGCTGCGGGTGGTCGCGGCGGTAAGGGCTCACGCGCACGTTCGTCCTCGCAGCGCCGTCCGGAATCGCGGCCGCGCGGGGAGCGGGCTGCGCTGCGGGGTTTTGTGAGTCTGCCCCGCGCTGGGGGTCCCGGCGGTACCGAGCCGTGCTCTGGCTTAAAGAAGGGCAGGGGCCGTTCATTTTGTCTTTGGCTTTTTTTTCTTTGAGCAAGTTTACTGTCAGGAAAACGATCGGACCGGACGAGCGACTCCCGCTCGTTGCACCGCCGGTTCTCACGGAGGCACAGGGATGCGCCGCGGCGCTCCGCGCTCCCCTGGGGAAGAAGGACGGAGAACGGGAAGCGTGAATTTGGGGCGGTTTCAGCACGTAGAGCGAGCGGGATCGCAGCCCGGGCCGCTCCGCTCCGCGCTGCCGTCTGCCGGCTCGAACGGCTCCAGGACACGAAGCGCGGGGCGGCCGCGGGGTTCTCAGAGCGAAACCGGAGAATCCGAGCGGAGGAGCCGCCCCGGGCAGCGCTCGGGCTGTGCCGATTCCCCACAGAACAGCACGTGCCCGTAACGGGCTTGATTAAATGAGTTTATCAAATACGAAGCAAAGCCGGAGGCCGGAGTTCTTGTTGCGTTTGGAACGGGGGCGGACGGCGCTTTGCCCGTCACGGTCACACGGACGGAACGAGGAGCTCACGTGGCCGAGGGGAATTTCATTACGGCAGGTCAGGCTGTGAGAGTCGCACGAATCGCAATCCATTACCTCTCCACAAAAGCCAGCTACTGTGTCTTCTTGGCTAAATAACGCTTTGTTAGAAAAGCATTGAGATCTTTACAGAATTACAATTAGCAGCGTGCAGCGGCACGTTTGCGCTTCGCAAGCATTAATTACGCTTCTGCTTCCTACGAAGCGTTGGCGCAGCTTTCTGCTGGCCGCCCGACGGGAGTAAAGCACTGCTGCGGAGCCCGGCCGGGAGCGGAGCGGTGCCGCTTATCGCCCCTCAGCAAAAGCCGACACGGGACGGCCCGTGTGCGAGTCGTGCGCGCAGCCACGGCAGGAAGGATTGGCGCAGCGCGGCTGGACGGGCGGAACCGGCCGGCGGGGAGAGCGGCCCCGCGGAGCTGCCGTGCCCGTCCGCCCCGACCGCCGCTTCGTGCGCTGTGTGCGCGGGGCGGACACGCCAAAGTCAGCACGGGCGAGAGACGCCCGTGAACGCGGGTAGAAATGAGGACGGGGGTTTCTGATTAGCTCGCTGCCCCTATAAAGCTCCTAGATCTTATCGGAGAAATGCGAGTTACGTGTTTTACCGTTCTTCCTTTTTGAACCATTATCCGATCAAAGAAGCACGAAAAGCGCTTGATTTTTTTTCTCCTGCGCTGGGAGCCCTCTGCAGGAAGCGAAGCTGAATGTCACAAATCTGCCCTTCCTGACGTCTCCCGAATTTCTAGGAATGCCCCTTCCCCGTTACTATATTTGGAGGTAGTTCCTAAGAAAAAAAAAAGCCATTTTCAGACGGTCGCGGCCCCAGCGGGGTGCGGGAGGGCGGTGCGGGGCGGCGCAGCCTTTGTGGCAGCGGTGCGGGAAGGAGCGGAGCGGAGCCTTTGTGGCAGCGGGCGGTGCGGCTGCTCCGCTCATTTCCAGGTGCCGGATTTTTTTTTTTCCCCTCCTGCACTTTATTCTTTTTTAAAGGAAAAGGAGCTTAGGGGAAAAAAAAAAAAAAGAAAGAAAAGAAAAAAGAAAAAAGAAAAAAGAAAAAAAAGAAGGAAAACATAAAGCAACCTTCTGGATTTTTTTTTCTCCGCTTCCCCCGCTCCCCCTCCCCTCGATGTGGCCTCTTGTTTGGCTCGTGGCGTGACCGTGATGAAGAAATGTTTCTGGGCGCCTGGCAGGGTGCTCCTTCTATGTCATGAGTCAGGATTTTGCCAACGGAAGGAGTCCGCGCAGCGAGCACCGGGGGCCGCCGCTCTCCGGACCGGGAAGCCGCCAGGGGATCCCCGCTCCGCCCCGGGGAACCGCCGGGCACCGGCACGCGGTGAGTCGCGCCTGCGGCCCCGCAGCCCGCAGGTGGGGCCGCTCCGCAGCGCCGTGAGCCGCGCTCCGCCGCGGGTGGGGCCGTTCCGCTCCGCTCCTCTTCCCTCCGCGCGGGGCCGCGCAGCCCCGGCCGCCTCCGTCTCTCCCTCCCCGCCGGCGCCGCTTCCCGCAGCCCCGCGCCCACGTGCCGCAGGCCGTGCAGGGGCCGCCGGCGGGCGGGAGGCCGCAGGGCGCTGCGCTGCGCTGCGGTGCCCAAGGGGCGCGGCCCCGCGGGAGCCACAGGTGTGCGCCCGGCGCGGGGCGGCCATCGCGGCGGGTCGCGGCCGTAGGGCGTGCGGGTGAGCTGCTGTCTGCGGCGGCCCTCGGACAAGCCTGGCGTCGCGAGGAGAAACGAGTCCGTCGTTGCCGTTGCTGCAGGCCCGCGTTTAACCGCATCGCTTAGTCGGAATGTCCGCAATCTACTTCGCGTTTTTCTTTCGAGATGCGTTTGCTGAGCACGCAGTCCAGCTGGCGCAGCATTCCTTGGCTCCGGATTTGGATTTCCAAAAGTAGCATAAACGTAGTAGTGGCTTTTCAAGCACCGTAATTCGTTTCTTTAACATATCTGACAGCATTTACCTACTTCGGCCGCCAACTGTAAACTATAATGCTTTTAAACTCGGTATTTATTTAGAATTACTGTAGGAATTATAAACGGAGGATTTAGAAAATACGTTCCCTTTGTGTGCAGAGCTCTCCTCATCCCTTAAAGAAGTTCTGGAGGAACGCAGTGCTGAGAGCAGTGCGATGCAGACGCAGCTGAGCAGCAGCGAACGGCCGCACTCAGCTCGAGTGAACACTGTGCAGGGCTGTGCCTGTAAGGAGCAGGAGTCACAGCAGACACCTGCAATGGTTCCACTTTAGTTTGTGATACAGAAGAACAGATAGACAAGCTGATCCTTTGGAAAGATGTGAATAGATACTTTGGGTGCTGAGTCTGGTGAATCTGCTGCTCTGGGTGAGGTCAGTGCGACTTCATGGGCGCTTACAGAAAGTCCTGCTTAACTAAACAAACAAGTCCTGATGTGTGAATAAGACTGCATAGTATCTGTTAGCAATTCCTGCCGTCCAGAAAGCAGTGTGTGCGTTGTCACTTGGATACAAGTCTCATTTATCTGTTCACAGATTAGCTACTTGTAAGCAGCAATTCTCTCAATTAATTGGGCATATCTTACAAAGATACCTGACTTACAAATTGAATCTCAGAAGGCTGTGGTTCCAGAGTCGGGGTTTTGGGGGCGAGATGAGCTTATGTTTTATCCAACTGGCCCACAAAGTCCCGCTTTTGGTGGTCACTTTGTTCTACAAAAGAAACCAATGCGTTCTGGTCTTACAGTGGACACTAAACTTAGCACTGAGCTACTGCTGCACTCAGTAATGGGCTAATGCACACTTAAATACACAGCAGTACTGGAACTCACACATTCCAGCAGCACCTCTGCTCTGCTGCTCATGTTTTTCTTGAAGGCTCTTCAATCAAAGCACATCTTTTTGTACTATTTCCGTGAGGTGTGCTCACATTTTGTCAAACAAACAGCTAGATTTGATTTTTTTCAGGTAGATCCTATCCTGTTCTCTACTGTTGATAAAGGAAATGCACATGTACTCATTCAAGCGCAGTTAACACAGTTATGAAGGTGTATGACCATGTAAGTGGCTGCTGAATGCTCTTCAAGAACACAGTGATAGTTCTGTAGGCCTTTCTCACTCAAAATTGTTCATCACCTTCTTTCCCACCGCTAAGCCTACGTAATGAGCTCCTGTTTCTCTCATGTACAGTAAGATGTTTCTACTGTGATGGATGGTGAGGGTGGTCCCAGCACCGCTGCTCCTGGAGCGTCCCGCAGTGCCCAGCATCTGCAGTGGGACAGCTGGGTTTGTTTGAAAAGCAAGAAGGAATGTAGAGAAGATGAAAAGAAGGCAGTATGTTTGGAATCAAAATTCATTTTCTTGAGATAAAAACTGTCACAAATTATTGAAAAGATGATATTTAGAAAGATCAACTCCAATTATTTATCACATTCATTATCTATACAACTGAAAGCCTTACTAGCCGTTTTCTATGTAAAATAAATTAAAAATTCATTTTTAGAATGACTTTTCAGCATTTTGAAGCAAAGCTTTAAAAAACAGCTTATGCGCAGTGAAGCAGGAGAGGGTTATCCAGCGTCTTCTGTCTGTTCACAGAATCACAGAATCGTAGGGGTTGGAAGGGACCTCCAGAGATCATCCAGTCCAACCCCCTGCCAAAGCAGGAATGTGTGGACACGTTACTGACAGCAGCGAGATCAGAGCCGGGTGGCATGGCTGGGGGATTGCTCTGCAGCCTGGGTTCTGAAGCAGGGCCTCAGCATCTGACATTCTCTGACCACGCGTTACCACAAAAGAGTTTTGTGACTGCCCTCCAGTACGGCCACTGGGAAGGAGAGGGTGGCAGTGACCAGAGTCTGGGACCCGGCTCCAAGCCATTCCTTAGTCCAGGCTGAGGTCAGTCGTCCCCCCTGTGAGGCAGTCTGGAGTTCTTCCAGGGCAGGAAGGCAGGCAGCCGTGCTGTGATTGCTGGCTTGTGCCTTGCTCTTCCCTCGCCCTTCTGACTGTACACATCAGCACTGCTCGCCTGCGCAAGGCCTGCTCCACACACCGGAAGAGAATCTGTTCAAATGCATCTCACAGAGGTATCATCAC